GTATGTATGTATGTATGTATGTACCCCGGGGCGATGAAAGTCAGGATCTCAGTTGCCTGGGGATTATCGGAATCGAAAATTGCAAATTCTTACCGCAGTTATCGGTCGTCATTGCAGAGTTTGCAGTGGTCCACTTTCGGTCGGGCAGCCTACTCGCACCATTCTTTGGTAGTTCTTGCCGCCAGGAGCCGCATGAAGAAGGACCTCGCGCGTTGGTTGCATATCTGGGGTGTTTCAAAATCAGGAGTACTTTCTTTAGGGTCTTTTGATTGAGGATAATCATTTAGGCCTGTGTTAGGGTCCTTGGATTTCTATCGCTCCCATATCAGCACTTCCGCAGCTGCAAGTGCAAAGGCCATGCTGCGCCGTTTCGTGGAGGGCAAGCTACACAGCTGGTGTCAGGCAGAGGCGCTTGGCGGGATTTGAACGCATGACAGCTACGCCGTGGCATGCTGTGGCCACTCACTGTTTTTGCATGCTCTTTCATGCTGAAATAGATGTCCGGTCTCTGTTCTACAGTTGGTTTCACTGTTGTTGCATCCAGCTATTTCCAATGTTGTCCTGGTTTGTGGGGACTGTTCTAAATATATTTAATTCGTAGTGTTCAAGAACCTTCGTCCTTAAACTGAAAGTCGGGAGCAGGCTCTCACACCAAATATCCGGCCCGAAGCCCTGAACCCCCTGTTCCTGCGAAGACTTTGCATATCCTGAGCACTCGGTTTGAAGGGTGATCTGGCTTTCGATGGTTACGGGGATATGTCGGTTCCCTGCTACCTCCTGTAGTGAACCTGTACCGACCTAAAAAGTGTTGGGAGTGTTGTATCACCTCCGGCTATCACTGTCAACATTATCAACCCGAAGCCCGATCCCAATCTGCTAAACCCCTCGGCCCTCGACCCTACGCTGATTTCTTGAACCCTGAGGTTCTCCAAAAGCGGCTTTTGTCCTCTTGTTTGTTTCTTTTGGGAGGCGTCCGTGAAACATCGACTGGACATCCTGGGACGAAAGCAAGAGGCACAGCCGGGAGCAGGATACCATGCGACTGGGGGGCGTCATTTTGAGGTTGTTGCTCATCTATGGTTGAAAGCACCTCAGTCCGATATCAGCAACTGTTGCAATGAAAACACCAGGAACAGCAGATCAGCAACAACAAAACCCGACTCAGAAATAATTAGCATAGCCTTCTCGTGCCCCCCCCCTCCTAATCTTTCAGGAGAGCCTCACAGACCTCAGAAGTACTTGATATCCTAGAACAGGACATCAGGCTCGCACGTCCTGAGTTCTCAACGTCGAAACCCAGAAGCCTACCCCGGCACTCCGAATTCGAGAATCGAACGGCCGCTCAAAAAAACTAAGACCTGTTTAGAGACTGAACCCTCGAATCCGAGGCTTTTTTTTTCCAAGCTCTAGGAATCAGTTGCATCAGGCGACCTTCAGCTGGCTCGAGGGTGGAGATGTGCAAGACATGGCTGCTGCGTTGCTCGCACAGGCCCCCTTTGAGCAGAGTGAGGCTCTTCTCAGTCCATGCTTCAGGGATTCCCCCACAATCCAGACCCTGCTGTAGAGCATATGGCTTGAAGTTTAAAAGGTTTGGGCTTGAGTATGTCTGTCTAGCAACATGGAGACCAGATGCAAAAAAGGCTTCAGAAATTCAAATCAGATAAGCCAATGATCTTCAAACCCTAATCCTGTCCCTTGCCAGGCTTGTCCGAGTGTGAGTGTCAAGAAATCCTGACTCCTACGCCCCGAGCACTTATAAACACCCTTAAACCCTAAAATCCTAAAACCCCAAACCCTTAAACCCTGAAGCTTGTCCGAGTGTGAGCGCCAAAACCCTGAAGCCTAAACCCTGAAACCCTAAACCCCATCATATTAAACACCCGAACTCCTGCGATCCCACGGAGGCCAGGCGTCTCGCCGGCTTCGCTGCGTCCGTGTTGACGCAGGCGGCTGCTCTCGGAGCGTCGCTCGAACACGCCGAGGCGAAATGGGAGTTTCCGAAACTAGGGGACCCTAGTATAGTACCCTAAATAATGGGATCCCTATTATAAGGACCCCAAAATAAGGTACCCCTAACTTTCTGAAACTCCCAAATGGACTGTCTCAACATGAGATAACTTTTCTGTCTGGTGCTTAGTAGGGAATGGGGGAATGGATCCCTGTGATAGTCCCTCAAGGTCCCTTATAGTAGTCCCTATAACCCATTCCCCCATTCCTACTAAGCACCAGACAGTTTTTTATGGAAAAGGATCGACTCCAAGGGGCCGCAGTTTCGAAGATCCTTGCTTGGGGGTCCTACTATCTGAGGCTCCTCCTATTGAGGGTCCCTGTTTGTTTTGGCGGGCAAGGGGATGGGTTTCAGACTTTGGGATCCTTCTGGCGGTCGTCCTTTTTTAAGTGTAGCCTTTCTTTTGAGGATCCTTCTGGGGTGGTCTTTATCCTAAGCAGTTCTCCACATGGTCGATACTTTGGCGAGGTCCTTGAATTGAGGGTAGGGGGACCGGATTCTGGGGCTCAGGGTTTGGGGCTATCGAACATTTTACCTGCAGCCTTTTGCCATCAATTGCTGCCGGTTGTGCTGTACGCAACGGCTCTGCGAAACTATGCTCGCAAAGCAGACTGCCCAGATCTGATTGCAAAACATTCTGAAGCCCTTGCACTGTGAAGCCACAGCTCAGCAAAACCCACTGCCTGGTGATTTGCTCTGGCATTTTGCACGTGGAAAAACTTTGTGCCCACAGGAACGGGAATGACAATTAGGAGCAGGATAGGAAAACATACGGTGACCGAAATCCAAAGCCCAATTTATTGAAAAAGACGCCGATTTCCTTGGCAGGCACAGCATGAAGGCACCTCTGCAGTCGTTCCGCTCTCTTTTGGCGATTTGGGTGACTGGGGCGGCGAGTCAGACGAAGGCTTCGAGAGTCCTGGCTGCAAGGTTTCGAAAGTCTTCGGAATTGGCGCGGGCTACTAGATAGTATATACTACTACTAGTACTACTACTACCGCTACTACTACTACTACTACTACTACTACTACCACCGCCACCACCACCACAACTACTACTACGCTACGACTCCCTAGACCCTAAGACTGGATTCCGTGCCGGAGAACCCCAAGACGGACTCCGACCATGAGGCCGGCGACCAAGCTGGTGGAAACGGGGGATGAGGGTTTAGGGTTTAGGGTTTAGGGGAGCTCAGGATTTGAATGTGTTTTCAAGGTTTTAGCCTTTTTGTGCTCGGGCTTTCTTGAGGGCCCGTTTAGGATCGAGGGTATCGGAATGAGCTTGCAGCTTGAAATTCTACCATTTACTAGTTTGACGCCTATCAGGGATCGAGACCAGGAGGAATCAGGAGGAATAAGTTATTCATGTACCTACCTCTACGACGAGGGACATGCAGGTGTACACGCAGGTGTATAGTCCTTCGCCCTCTGTTGCCTCTAGAGTTTGCTCGAGGGGAGCATTGTCACCGAATGCTCCCTGCATAAACAGCAGGGACAATTTCAGGGTACTGGGCTTGGGGAGTGGAGTGCATGTGTGTGGGTGTGGCTGGGTGGGTGGGTACGAGTGGGTGGGTGGGTGTGGGTGTGGGTGTGGGTGTGGGTGTGTGTGTGTGTGTATATATTTTTTTATCTACCGATGCCTACCTGTGCAATTTTGGCATGCTCCGATGTGGCCGTTCAAAAAGTTGTGCTTGGAGAGTCGCCC